AGCCGCACGTCCCTGTATTGGCTTTCGGTCGTCGCCGCCTGTTGTGCGGCAGGATGCGTCGAGCTGGCCTTTGGCTACCCGTTCATTTCACAATGCCATGCATTGCGGATCAAAGAAGTCGGGGCGTTCCATTATTTTTCCAAGCTCCTGTTCCTGGTCTTCAGCCGCAACTTCGCCTTCAACCTCTTCCCCTACATGTTGGGGGAGAGGAAACAGCTTCGGCAGTCTTTGGAAACGGAGGTCAGGGTCGTTTGTCAATATGCCAGAATGCTTGATGTTTGCGACGGGGGCAACTGCCAGCACATACCCATTGACGACATCTTCTATTGCAAGAAGAACGGGAACGAGACGGATGTCTATACGGTGGGCGGCGTTAAATACACCCGCTTTTGCACCATCAAGTATTTGATCCAGCTCATCGGGGACGATGAGTTTGTCCGCATATCCCGCTCCTTCGTGGTCCCATTCCAGCACATCGCCTCGTGCGACGGAACGTCCCTGGTCATGAAGTCCGTGCCCTGGACGGAAACACCCCTCGCGTTCGATCTGGACACCCAAAGATACCCTCATGCCCCCGCCGCCATTGAGCAATATCTGCGCGCAGGCCATGAGGCCGCGGATGGCGTTCCGGCGAACGGCAAGGACGGAAAGGGCAAAAAAAGCTTGTCTGTCCCGCCGAAAGAGAAGCTCGACGCCGTGCTCGGCTACATCCGGGAGCACCCTGGCTGCCGCTCCACGGAACTCATGTCCCACACGTCCTATTCACAGACCACGATGGACAGGTGCCTGTTCGAACTCAAAAAGAGAGGACTTGTCGAATACGCCGGAAGCAAGAAAAGGGGTGGCTACCACCTGACCAACACCTCGCAGGATAGCGAAAAGGTAGATACAACTCAACCAGTGGGAAAGTAACAGAAAATGAAAGAGGTATCGTCCAAGAGGAACCAGAAGAGGCTAAGTTTGAGTTGGAAAATCATGAATAAAAGGAAGACTTGATTTTACCGTTCAATTGGGCAGACATTCTTTTTAAATATTATTGTATTGAAAAAAAGCATACTTTTGCCACCGGTATGCCGAGGCATATTCACTTTAAATCACGGCACCGCCAAGCCATTTTTGACGGTGCTTTTTGAACCCAATTTGTACCCCGAGTATATCTAAAATCGCGTATCAATATGAATATCAAACAGATATGAAAGATATAGAATTAACCCCACATAAGCGTAACGAAGTGGAGCGCAGTGTGGGGTGACGGCGGAAGCAGCATATCTATGGCGTGTTGGAAACACACTACTATTAGTAAGTCAATTAGTAGCGTGCCTCTGGCACGCAGGCTCGCGCTGCACATCACCACCCCACACTGCGGCCTATCGGCCTTAGTATGGGGTTATTAGAATTGCGTGCTTCCAGCACGCCCCACACGCACGATTTCAAATCGAAAAGTCAATAGTTGACCATATACATTTGAGAATCAATATATTATAGAAAAATTAAAAGAATTATTGCATCAGTGGTATTACGGAATCAGGAATGACGATGGAAGTCAATGCTGAACAGGCCCAAAAAGCCTCTTCTCCAATTGCGATTACGGGATAAATCTTTCCTCCAAGGCAATCTTCGGAAGGGATGACAAGTTCGCCTTCAAGGTCTTTGCCGTCGGTGACGACAAGGCCGTTTTTGTTGTCGTTTAATGTGTATTCTAATTTCATAATACGTTTGGATTAAGTTTTTTTGATGCTATAAATCTTGATGTCTTCTTGATGCTCGCCCTAATCTTGGGTCTCAAATTACTTTTCGCAAAAGTACAAAAAATGAAAACATGTTATTTATATAGTGGAAGAATGGTTCTGAAGAAAAGGACGATGCAAAAACAACATCTTTTTCTATAAGGTTTGAGATAAGAGAGGAGAAGTCCTCATGACAACCGCCCTGGGAAGAATATCGCAAAACAGTGTTTTTGTCTCTGAGTTGACACGCCAAATGAAACAACGGAGCCGCTTCTTAATTGATCAATCAAGAAAACAATATGTTTATATGCCTGGTTACATGTGTTTTGGAAACCTGAATATACTACCCGCCCACTACCGGGCCGTTTCGTTAAATTGTTTTATTTGCACCGGTTTTTAATGATCACCCATTAATTTTTTTTCGCATGAACAGTATTCAAAATAATGCAAAACAATGGACGGTGAGGCATCCGGGGTGGTTGATCTTCATGGTCGACCAGTCGCATTCCATGCAGGATGTGTATTCCGAGGAAGAAACGAAGGCGGACTTTACCGCCAAGGTCATCAACAGAACCATTCATGAGCTCATCAACATGAACCTTGACGGTGAAACTGTTAAGGACAGAATGAAAATAGCCGTGGTCGGCTATGGGGGGCTGGGCGGTGATTCTGTCCAGATAATGCGGGTCGGCATGCTGAGCAGCTACGCCGACAATCCGCTCCGTATCAACAAGGCCAGGCAAAAAGTGGTGAACGGCGACCTTGTGCTGACCGAAATCGAGGTGGAGCAGCCTGTCTATATTAACTCTTTGGCCAAGGGAAGCACGGCGATGGGCAAGGCGTTCCGGCTGGTGGGGAAGATGCTCCTTGATGAAAGAGAGCGGCATGGACTGGATTACACCGACATCATCGTGATCAACGTCAGCGACGGAAGTCCCTGGAGCCACGAACTGAAATTCAAGGAGAGGGACCTGGCGGTGGGGGAGGCGCAAGCTTTAATGAGGAACGGCACCCTGATTTATAACGCACATATAGGGAACGGACAACCCAGGCTGATCTGTCCGGACCGTGTTGACTCTTCCGACGGACGGCAGGCGGGATTCCTGTTCGACATATCCTCCGAAATCCCGCAATGCTATCTCGACACGGCCCGGAAATTCGATCTTTTTCTGGCCGACGGCGCGCGCGGGTTCGTGAGCAATGCATCACCGGACGTGTTGATCAAATTCATCAACTTCGGGAGTTCTGGCGCCTTCACGAAGGACAGGACGGCATAACATCCGCTAACCGTCCACTAACAAAACACATTGTTTTTTTATTTTCTTTGCGGCACGATCAATCACCAAAAATAAACATACAGTTATGGCAACCACAATGACTTCAGATCAGCTCCATGCATGCATCATCATGGACATCACCAACAATCAGGTGCCGACCAGAGTGGCATCGAAAAGATCCTTCACGAACGGCGAGACCACCGTCATCAACCGTTACCAAGGCGACATCAACACATCGGTGAACAACTTGCAGAACTACGAAAATGAGGCAGAGACACTTGCGAACAGCGTTGTCCTGGCAACCGAAGCCCTGCAAAAAACAACCGATGATTTTTTGACCCGGAAAAAAGACCTGGAGGGCGAACTCGAGCTGGAAAACGCACAGCTGGAAGAATGCGAGCGCGAGTTAAGCGTCATCGGCAGCGGCAACAATGTAGTTCAAAAAGAGAACACACCCGTTAAGAAAAGACTGTCGAGATATTTGAAGACCGTTGTTTTGATACTCATAGGGGATGCCATCGCTGTCGCCCTGTCATGGGCGATCGTCCGGGAATCGTTCGCCGTCTCCGATATTATCAAGAGGAGTCTGTTTCTCGGGGCGATTGGGGTCTTCGCCATTATTGAAGACGCCCTCTATTTCAAAGAAGGAAAGAAGATGTATTTCTGGGCCTTCTCATTTTCCCTATTCATGGCTTTTTGCTCGACTGTGGACATGCTGGCCACCAGCTTGATTTGGGCGCCGAAGTTAAGCGTCCAGGCTCCGTCGTTCAGCCTGGATCAGGTCAGCGCCGTGGCCACAGACAGCGTCGGGATCAAACAAGTACTGGCGATGAATCCCGGCCTTGTCGAAGCTATGCTCACATTCCTCACCTTTCTCATTGTCCATATACGTAGCGGATATGCCGGGCCAAAGTCCCAGAACGTGTGCGGGGGGGATTCCAGGTTGGAGCAGATCAGGGAGGGGAAAGAAAGCGAGCTCTCCGCGATAAGAGGGAAAATCGACGACCTCCAGAACCAGATGGCGGACATCACCGCCAAGCATCGGAACGACTTGGGGTTTATCCAAGGCAAACTCGAACAAATGAAAGGGGAACAATTAGAGTTGTTGTCGAACACAGGACGGGAGAAAGAGAAAATTGCGACTATGATTTGTGACATCGTCCAGGACCTCTCCTTCTACAGGACCAGTTATTTGCGTACGTATTCGCGAATGAAGGGTAATTCCACAACCCCTGCTTACGACCTCGCCACGGCCGACGACGTCAAAGAATACTTTAACATTCAGCAATAATTTCAAATTCATTTTCAAAAATTAAAAATTCACCATTATGGAAAAAAAACATTCAAAGCAGTTCAGTTCAGCCAACCCCGGCGTTGTTTTATTTGTCCTTGACCAGTCCGGCTCCATGAAGGAAACGTATCCGGAAGGCGGCAGCAAGGCGGCTTTCCTACACAAGGTCGTCAACAGGACCATCAACGAGATGATCAATGCGAATATGGACGGTGAAACGGTGAAGGACCGTGCGATCGTCTCCCTCTTTGGCTGCGGGGGGAAAGGCGCGACGGAGATCCGCACCGACAAACTGAGCGGTTTCGCCAACAATCCGCTCAGGATCGAAAGCGCCACCCAGAAAGTGTCCGACGGGAATGGCGGCCTGGTGGAAGTGTCCACCCAGAACCCGGTCTTTTTTGAAGCGCAGGCAGGAGGACCGACACCGTTGGGCTCCACTTTGGAAGTCGTCAAGCCGGTGGTGGCCGCCTTCATGGACAAATACCCGGACAGCCCGGCGCCGGTGATCATCATCGTGTCGGACGGCTTGCCCTATGCGGAAGGTGTGGACGAGGAGGCCAAGGCCATCTCTGTGGCCCGCGAGATCATGGACCTGCAGGGGAACGACGGCTCCCCGCTCATCTTCAACTGCCACATCGGCAACGGGGCCAACAAATGCTCCTTCCCCTCTTCCGAGGATGATCTGCACGACGAGCAGGCTCGCTTTTTGTACAAGATCAGCTCGGAAGTCCCCGATTCCTACAAGGAAGCCGCCGCCAAGCTGGAGTTGGAGCTCCCGGACAACTGCAGGGGAATGGTGAGCAACGCCGATCCCACCACCCTGATCAAATTCATCAACTTCGGAAGCTCCGGCGCAAGCCAGGACAGAATGTCTAACAATTAAAATGATGACCTATGATCGTCAATGTGAGAGGATACATAACGAGCAAAGACGCGGAAGCGTACAAAGACTGCGCCGACCATTACGCCTGCAACCTGCAGCTTCACCGGTTCGCCATCGCAGACGGGGTCTCCAAGTCGTTTTTCCCAAAACTGTGGTCCAAGATCCTGGTCGACAAAGCCGTCGAACAAACCTGTGACGAGGACGGCGCGCTGGAGGATTGCCGGAAAGAGTGGCTGTCGCAGGTGACCCGGCGCGTGTCCCGCCCCGAGGTGAAATGGTTCACCGCCAACGCCTTCCTCAGACAGGAGCCCGCCCTGTCCACTTTGGTGACCCTGGCGTTCGACGAGGAGAACATGTGCTGGACGGCTTCCGCCATCGGCGACAGCTTCCTGTTCTTCGTCCCCAGGGGCAGGGAAGACGACATGGAGCATTGGACAAAGCTGTCGTCGAAACCGGAACCGGTAGTGTTCGACAACTTCCCCGATTATCTGTCGAGCCGCGGAGGGGGGAAAGGAGAGGCCAGGCACACCGCCGGACTGATAGAGCCCGGGACTTTCTATCTGATGACCGACGCCTTGTCCGAATGGGTGTTCGAGAACCGGGGGGACGCCCTGCGGCTCATCCAAACAGACTGGACCGGGCAGAACGGCTTCAGGGACAGCGTGAACAGACTCAGGCATTCCGGCGTGCTGCACGACGACGATTCGTCCGTGTTGATCATCAATGTGGAAGACGACGGCATCGGCGACATCTGTTACGGCAAGGTTGATGTTTCCAGCCTGGAGGATCTGGTCGGGATGGAAGAGACCCTCCAGCACTGCAAAGACACTGTCGCGCTTCGGAAAGCCGAACTCTGGAAAGACATTGAGGAAATTATCGATAACGCTAACCTTTCAGAATATGCAAAACGGGAAATCAAAGATCAGCTGTCCAAAGACGATGCCCTCGCGAACTGAAATCGTGACGGCCATCAGCAACGACGTTTGTCTGAAAGCCGAGGAGCTGAGAGGGGGCAGCGTCATCAAGCGCGGCTCCCTGGTGGTCCAGTTCGCCGGAGGCTTCACCAACGTGTTCCCTTTCATCAAGAAAGACGGGAGGAAGGTCGCGGTCCGATGTTGGTGCGCCGACATCGACAGTGCCAAGGAACGCTGTTCCCACGTGGCGGAATACCTGAAGGATGACACCAGCGGCTACTTCGTCGACTTCCAGTATGTGCCGGACGCGATCCTGGTCGCCGGCGCGCTGCACCCGGTCGTCATCATGGAATGGGTGGAGGGGAGCACCTTGAAGAAATACATCGATGAGCAGGGGCCGTCTAAGCGGCTTTTCCTTGACCTGGCAGAAAAATTCCGCAGGATGGTGGAATACCTTCACAGCAAGAACATCTCTCATGGCGACCTCCAGCATGGCAACATCATGATAAAGCCCGACGGCTCGCTGACCCTGATTGATTATGATTCCATGTATGTGGACAGCCTGAAGGGCATGACAGATGCGGTGAAAGGCTTGCCGGGCTACCAACATCCGGCAAGAACGAAAAACCGGCTCCTGACACCAAAAAGCGACTACTTTTCCGAGCTTGTCATCTATCTCTCCCTGAACATCTTCGCCGAAGACCCTTCGCTGTGGAAGGACTACGTGGACACGGAAGACCTCCTTTTCTCCAAAGAGGACTTCGACCACTTCAGGCAATCGGACCTCTTCAAAGTGTACGGCTCTTGTTCAAATCAGCGTATCCGCTCGCTCATGAAGAAGATGGAGGAGGCCTTGTCCGTGGCGGACATCGAGGGTTTGCTCCCCCTCGAGGCGGTGCTGGACAACAAGACCGGCACCGTCCCGGACGCGTCCGTGAATGTGTCTGGGATTATTTCGAAATTGGACAGCTTCAAGCCGGCCACCGCGCCGCACAGCATGACTTTTCCCGACGCGGGCGGAATCATCGCCAACCTGAACACCCTCATGGAAGCGATCGAACTGAACAAGCAGATACCGGCAATCGACATCAACAAGATTATCAGCAAGTTGCAGATTTGACAACGCCGCCGAACCACTACGCATCCTCTACGCAACACAAGTCGTCCATTTGTATCTTAGCCGCATGATTAATCACACGAAACAACTGCAGTTATGAAAGGAACAGAAGAATACGACAAACGTTTCAGGGACACTGGGAACAACCGGCTGACAACGGCCGAAAGGCAAAAAAAACGGAAGGCGCCGTCTTCGGTGTTGCTGTCCGACACAGTCATCGAGTTCGAGGCCAAAATGTTGTTGGCCAAATGTAAAGAATTATCAAAAATCATCAAATAATCATCAAATTTTAAATCAAATCAGTATGGAAAAATTTATTTCAAAGGTAATTGTTGTATTGGTTGTGTGTGCGACCGCGATGTTCAACCTCCGCTGCTCCCACAAGGAAGCCGGCCTCGAGGACACGTCGCTGACCTTCCTCGTCGACGTGACGGACTCGACACTGTTCGACCAGGTGAATTCCGACTTTCACCAGAACCTCCCCGTGTTCTTCGAACGCACCGGCTTGGACAACATCCAGCCGGGACAGAGGCTCACCCTGAAAATGTCTCCGATCACCTGCTCCGGGGTCTTTTCCATGAAACAGGCCTCCATCGCCCTGCCGGTGAGGGACATGTCCAAAAGGGAGGCGGCGCTGTTACGCAACCCGGAACCGTTGATGGCCTTGATCCGCTCCGAATTGGACGACTACGCCAGAATGGCGGCTGAAGACCAACAGGCTTCCCCGATCCTGGATGTGTTGCTGAAATCCTTCCGGGAAATGTCACCCTCCTCCCGGGAGTTGTTGGTCGTGTTCACGGACGGCTACGAGCACAGCAACTACCTGAACATGTATAAGGCGAGGACGATCCCGACTTCCGAGATGGACGTGGCCAGGATATTGGAGAAGGCGGACCAGATCCTGCTGCAAGACGCCAGGTCCGTGGTCAAGAACGTCAACCCGGCCGTGGTCTTCGTGCTGAAGGAAACCTCGAAAGAGAACTCCTTCAAACGGGCGGATTTGAAGATGTTTTATACGGAACTCCTCAGGCAATTAGGGGTAACCGACGT